TTTGCTCACCAGCTTCAGTTGTCAGTTATTTATGTGGCACGTAGGAATTGTATGCTTGGTGAGTTTTTCAACATGCTTGCTATTTTTGTGAATTTGGTTGGTGCAGCATATAAGTATGTAGATGCGCTTCGATCAAGTTATCATTCTAATATTCTTGAGAAGCTTCATATTGGGGAACTTTCTAGTGGAAGTGGTCAATTTCAATAAATGAGTTTGGCCCGCCCAGGTGATACTAGATGGGGCTCACATTTACTGACAATTACTTGTTTCATTAATATGTTTAATGCTATCATATATGTTCTTGAGGATATATCAGAAGATGGCTTAAATTCAAATAAAAAATCAATGGTCATAAGACTCATGGACACTATGCAAGATTTTAAGTTTATGTTTAGTCTCTACTTTATATTTGAAATTCTTGTAATTACATATGACCTTTCACAAACCTTACAAAAAAAGGATCGGAGATATTCAAAATGCTATGAAGTTATTGAATTTGTGTAAGTGTGCATTGCAGAACCTTAGAGACAATGGTTGGAATACTTTGTTGAGTAGGGTGATTGAGTTTTGTTTTGATAGACATATTTTAGTGCCCAATTTGGAGAATATTGTAGTAGCGAAGGTTGACCTCGGCGCGTAGCTCAGCAGACAACTTATTATCATCACTTTTATGTTGATTTGTATTGTCATGTGATAGACTTAATCTTGCAAGAGTTGAATGATCGTTTTTCATAAACAACTACTAAGCTCTTTAATTGCATTTCGTGTTTAAGTCAATGAAATTCATTGCAGCTTTTGATCAGGCTAAATTGCTACGTCTTGCTCAATTCTATCATTCGGACTTCAATAGTGAAGAACTTTTATTACTTAGATCTCAACTTGACAAGTTTCTTATGTTATTTTCCTATGGTTTAAGGTTGATCACATTGATTTTGATATTACCTATGGCAATTGCAACTATTGAAATGGTATTTTCTGCTATGAATCTAATCAAGAGTGACTTGCGCATCAAAATGGGAGACGACTGGTTGAACGACAATTTGGTGATTTACATGGAGAAAGGGATATTTGAAAAAAATTGAGAATGAGGTAATATTACAACGTTAATCAAGAGTGACTTGCGCAATAAAATGGGAGATGACCGGTTGAATGACAATTTGACAGTTTACGTGGAAAAAGATATTTTTATAAAACTTGAGAATGAGGCAATATTGCAACGTTTTCAGAATATGAAACTCCGTAGAATGCAGTTGTCTAAGTTTACAATTACAGATTATGGTTGTATTTTTTTTTTTAGTATTTTGAGTTGTATTGAATTATATTTTCATATGTATATATTTTTTACGTTTTATGCATTTACTAATGTATTGAATTTTATTTTCGACTATTACGATCGTTGATCGGTCAATGGTCATCGGTCAGCGGTCATCAGTCATCGATCTTCGCCCTAGGTGAACGAAAATGCTGAATCCGCCCTTGGAGGTATTATCATTCGAATTTTCCTGTGAAACTACATTGGAAGGTGTTGGTCCTGTTGGAGCCATGGAAAAATCCTTCTAATTTTCCGGTATATTTTATTTGGATATAATTCTCTAAATACAGATATTCTTTAGTGTGTTCTTGTTACGTATACAGGCGCCGATTGGATTGTACACGTTGACATCAGCCTCATAATATCGACTAAGTCAATGGACATGTAAGGTGCAAGCAATTCAAGTACAAGTGGAGCGTTTATTTTCAGGTTGACCCAAAAAAAAGAAATCATTGGGAAATATATTTGTGCCCTATACTATTCAAACTGTTAGTTGTCAGCATGTTACTATTCAAACTGTTAGTCGGGCTGTCAAGCAATGAAGGAATATTGACGCCTTCAATTGTACATTTGAAAAAGCAATCAAAGTCTAGGCAGATTTTAATAACAATAATATGGTACAATAGGAGAGGGCTTAAACTTTTCCTCAAAAGTTATGGAGGAGAAAAAGAATTATTCAAGAAGGCCATGAATATGAAAGTACCATTTCCATTATAAGTAGAGAATTTAACTATGCTAAGTGCTAATCGTGTGGGAAGGACGATGTTGTTAATTCACCATGGCACTTGCAATAAAGTTCGTAACTAGGAACCGATGATTCATACACTTGCCTTCTTGGTAAATATATGACACTTAGAATTTTTCTAGCAGTAACTCTATGCTCTTATGTCTAAATAGAGACAAAATGCATCACTTTTTAAAGGGAAAAATAACAACTGGGTTATTCAACATTTTTCATGTGATATGTTTATGGATTTCCAACCTTTAGAAGTTAGATTCTTAGCCCTCAATCTAATTATGTGAATTACGTCCCAATGCGATGAAAATTGTTAGTGTGGGCATTGAAATTACACGCGACTTTCAATTTAATTGGACAGAAATGTTAAGGTTTGATGGATTTACAATCGCTAATGTGAAAGTCATGTGAGATTTGTCATTTGTATTGATAGTTTTAATCACGTAAGGCTCATATGCACAGCTTTAAATAGATTTGGGATCCAAAACCTCACTTTTAAAGGTTGAGAACTCATAATCACACTAGATGAAAGATTAGGGAATCCAACCCTATTTTGTCCTTTCTAAACGACCATTCTAGAAGATAGTATTCCTTAAAACCCCGACATGTAATTTTGAAAATATGATAATTTATTTAAAGCCATCACTTAGATCTTAACAAGAGAGATGACCTTCATTAGAGATGTACTTATATACATTATTTTCATTAGTGTTTCTCATCCTAAAAAAGTAATATTGTCGAGACAATGTGTTCAAGTCCTCCATCAGAGCTAAAGAGATGAAATTGAACGTGTAAAGAAAATCATGATGGGTTTTCAACTTGCACATATGTGGATGAATTTACACTTCGTTTTTTCTCTACAAATTTTGGGATTATCCCCGTTTATAGGTTTGAAATCTACATTTATGAATTGAATGGTTAGAGTACTCTCAATAAATTTTAGTACACACTGCTGCTGCGTGCCTTGCTAAAATTGAAAAATGTGCAAATCTTATTAAGGGCTTGTTTGTTTCCACTAGAAATCATAATTCTGACCGTTGCAGCCGCCATATTTGAAGAAATTGTGTGATAGTGGGCCCCATTTTGTGAAAAAAAAGGGGCAAACAATTGATTTTCTTGAGAAAATAATCTAAAACCTTTCAACATTTTGGAATTATCCCCGTTTATAGGTCCGAAATCTACATTTATGAATCGAATGGTTAGAGTACTCTCACTGCTGCTGCCTTGCTAAAATAGAAAAATGTGCAAATCTTATTAAGAACTTAGCTAAGATGAACAAATTTAATCACAAGCAAACATTTCAATATGAATTAATCGTAAATTAAGAGATTTTACGATTTTGTTTTTTACCCTTTCTAGAGAAAGTATTAATCGTAGATAAAATGGAATTTCCACAATAAATGCAAACCCCTGTGATATGAAAGAGCAATTGCATTCCAATTCAACCGGTGACCCATACATAAGATAAACTGCTAGTAAAATAAAGAAATTCTTAAAAGTTTTGATTTTACTGAACGCGAAACCTTTAAACCATTCTCCCAAGACCCTTCTTTTAGCCGTGAGAAAGCTATTATGCTCTCTTTGGAAGAGAGAACGATGAGAAAATTGACGAAATGGCTACAAACAAGAATCCAAGTAGACATAGGCTAGCTGCAGCTTCAGTGGTGCGAATAAAATGGCTGATATCCAATCCTTCGATAACTATTAGGTTTTTGAAATCTTGGGTCATCCCAAAACTTGCTGCTCCACCTGTTGCCAGTATGAAGGACACAACCTGCTCAAAGCAATCAAATCATGTTAGAAAAACTTATAGATTATTACCAAATTTTCTTCGTTAAAGTTTGACTACATTTAAAGACAACCTCGTTGATTCGCTCATGAATATTGGATCATTGGCAACAAAAAGTCTTCGATTTCATCAATCAAAAAGTAAAAAAAATCTCAAGTTTTCTTCCATAATCTTCCTTTAGCTAACCTCGTAGGATTTTAGTTTAACAAGAATGTAGATCTTGTAAGCTAATTTCCAAAAACGAATTCTTGCAATCATGAAAATTGAAAAAAATAAAGAGTTGGACAACAATATAAGTTGGGAACTATAATTAAATTTAGAGGCAATGCATGCCCACTTCCAATAGTATTACTGACACGGGATTAGATATGAAAGGCCACACCTTATCGCCATAGAAATCTATGTAAACCAAGCCATCACCGCCAAACCGGTTTCCAGTGCTTAAATGAATAAGTGTTAATGCAGTTTGCAGAAGAGTATAGACAAGGCCAATGACAGTGGCAGCACAAAGATATCTGCATGTGAAGGGACGTATTAGAAATATGAATATCGACGAATAAGTACTCCAAACTCTGTAACATTCACTACTAAAAATCAGCTTTTCACCTACGAATAATTATCAACGTATCCGTTGGTAATCAAAAATGGATTATCCGTTGGTAAAAGTAATAGTAACTACGGAAATTACCAACAGAATTTTTGTTGGTAAAAGTGGTATCTCTTCACCAACGGATATTCAATGTCTAATGTTGTTTAATATGCTTATCATTTACCAACAACATTTTCGTAGGTGATGTAATTTAACATTTTTCTAAAAATTGTGTCAACCTTTCACCTACGATTTTTTCATGGGTGAAGAGTAGTTCATATTACCAACGAAATTGTTATTGCTAATATTAATCAATTTTAATAATTAAAAAAATCAAACATTTTCCTACTGAATATTCGTAAGTGAAGGGTAATTAATTTTTTCAAAAAAAGATTTCAGCCTCTTCACCAATAAAAATTCCGTAGGTGAAGATTAATTCATATTACCTACGAGAAATCCGTTGATATTAATCAATTTTAATAATATTAAACAAAAAATTTTTTTTATCCCACATCGAAAGTTCACAACAAAATTTTGGGAGATGACCTCTATAAATTAGTGGTCTAATAAGTGATTAAACAACATTTTGGACCTTTTAATTCAGTTGGCTAAAGGTTAAAAATTTTATAATTACTAAACAATAATAAATAATAAATAAATAATTTTTTTACCACGCCTCACACCTCTGTCGCTATTTACAATGCTGATTTATACAAATTGTAATAATAGACGTTTACTAACAAAAAATCAGTTGGTAATTATCAAGATTTTTACCAACGAAATTTCCGTTGATAAAAGGTTCACACTTTACCAACGGAAAATTCGTTGGCAAAAATGTTTACTCTTTACCTATGACGTGATCCATTGGTAAACTATCAGCGACCCTCAAATTAACAACAAATTTGTGGTTGCTCATATTCTGTTGGTAAAGAGTAAAAGCAACTGATACCTTGGTTTTAGGAACGAAAAATCCGTGCTTGAATTAATTTTTTTTTTGTGGTAGTGAAACTCACCTGAACGCCTTAAAGTCTTTGAACTTGATCTTGACATCTCCGTAATCAGAATTTGAAGCAGTTCCAGTGGCAGTAGTCAGGAGGATAAGTGAAATGATAAGGCAAACAAATGTAAGGATCCTTACAATAAGAGAAACAAATGGAGAAACTACAGTTGAAGGTGGTGGAGCCATGAAAATTGTATTCTCTAGTAATCTGCTATTTTTCCTGTAAGAAAAATATAAGTTGTCTGAAACAGATTTTCTTGTATCTGTAGTCTGCTAAAGATTGGCTCATATAAGAACATGCTCGTTGACTTCAGCCTCATAATAACCTAGCAAGTCAATGCCGTTGGGGAGGGCGGGGCGTATAATGCAAGCAATTCACACATGGAGCGTTTACTTTGATGATCAGCTGGTTGACGCAAGAAATGTGGGAACCATTCAAACTAAGGCTGTCGATTAACTGGATATTCACAAGTTGGGGGTGTTTTAACTGGATAAAATTTAATTAAAATAAATATATTCTATCCGATACATTAATATTAATAGTTTTTAAAGGTAATTTATATCAATATTTATAAATGGAAAAACATAATTTTCAATCACACATTTCAATGAATTCAAATGTACTATCCATTTATTTACTATTAGGAATGACAAAAAAATCCGTTCAACCCGATACCTTAGAGCCTCACCCTGAGAGAGATCGTTGTCTCGAAGCGGGTACGGACAGATACAAGAAACATATTCCCTTCCCCACTACCTCCCCGTTTTCAAATTTAAGTTTCTTATCAAACACAAATAAAAAAAATTATCATCATTTTTAAAACGAATATTGAATTATTCTTAACAAATTGAGAAAAAAAGTAACAATATTCACTAATTAAAGATATAGAAAAATAACTAAAAAAATTAACTAGGAGATAAACGGCCCCATCTCGTCTCGCCCTCATACCCGAGGTGACAAAAATACCTGACGGATTGGGGAACTAGAATGGTCGACCCGCTCCATATTTGTCTTGTTGCTATCCCTATTCACTACTCATTTTTATTTATTTATAAATTCAATAGTTTATAACCTCTTTCTAAACGGAAGCTTAATTATACAAAAAGAGATTTAATTTAATCAAGACGTTCATTTGAATTTTGCACATGGAATTTTATAAAGCCCTTAATTCGAAGGCTAAGATGATAAACTTTTTATTATTATTATTATTAGTATTCTTACTTATAAATTGAAGGAAATAATTATTTAAAAATCACCATCCCTACTCATTTTTAACCATATATTCTCCAAATAATTTTAAAAAAAAAATTTAATTTCGTCTTTAACTCAACTCACCATCCTTAATTATTCGGCCATTTTGCTTAAAGTGATGAGTTGTCGCTGCAAAATGTGCAACAAATGAAACGAAGTGAGAATATGCAAAGGGGATTTTGAACTCCTCTTGAAAGGGAGATTTTTTTTAACACGATAGATGGCTTGATTAGCTTTCTTGAATCTTTAAATCAATCATATGCTGGCCTAATTTTTTTTTCTACCATTTATAGTGATGTTTGACCTACTATTTTTGTGTTCAAAATTGTTATGATTTTAAGTTGATTTTCAAAAGAACCAAGAAATAACAAGATCGATGATGTGCAAAGGACCCAAAAAATATGACACAAGATACTTCAGTTTGGTTCGATTATAGCACATTGACGTTGGAATAGAATGATAGAGGAAAAAGATAAATAAATAAATAGAGTGGTATCACGCCCACCCCAGAGAATGAATAAAAGAGAGAAAAATGCATTTCACAAGATTTAACTAATTTTTCTTTTAAAAAAAAGGAAAAAATAAAAAGGACCCATAGAAAAAAAAAAGCACAAAGATGAAAGAATCCTAATACTTAGCGTTCCATAAGAATTTAACTTATTTTTCTTTTTTTCAAAAAGGGAAAAAAATCCCGGCATGTATAATGTGAAAAAATAGAAAAATAAAATACAAAGGGCACACTATCTAAGTAGCAGAAATGATCTAATGAGCACCGGTGCTCATCTTATCCTAAGCACCGATGAGTTGGCACATTAATTCATTGGTGGATAAAGATTTTGTGAGTTCCAATCCACCAATGAATTAATGTGCCAACTCATTGGTGTTTAGGATAAGATGAGCACCGGTGCTCATTAGATCATTTCTGTATATATTAAGACTCGAATTTATTTTTCTTCTACAACTATAAAAACTAAATGGACCTAGAGATCACAAGCAAAGTGGGAAGAAAATAGAGAATCGTGTCGGACATGTTTTTTAAATAGTAACATCCACATACCATAGACAAGATTTTAGTTTCGAACGAACATGCCAAGACGAAGTTCATACGAAACAAAAAATCTATCTTGCTATTTCCGTCCCTTCTATGTATGCCTGATCAAACCCTTCTTCCATGCCCAAGTCTACCAATTCTCTTCACCTTTCCACCAAATGGCGGATGATGAAAACTCCGGCCTTGTTCTTAAACTAATCATTTTCCTAATAGCAGCCGCTTCTGCCGCCGTGTTCGTCACCATATACCATTGCATCACGGCGGGTAACATCCATGTCTTACTGCGCTTCCGCCGAAACCCACCTCCACGACCAACTTTCGTCTCCACCACGGGACAACCCGACCCGCAATTTAGTATTGAGACATCAGTGGCCGAACTCCTTCCAACACACAAATTTCAGGACACTGGCTTGATCGGAGTGGACGATAATATGTGTGCAGTTTGCTTGTCGGAGTTTGAAGAAGATGAAGAATTGCGTACACTGCCGGAGTGTAAGCACTCGTTCCATGTACAGTGTATCGACATGTGGCTTTATTCGCATTCGAATTGCCCCATGTGTCGCACCGTTGTTTTGCCTTCTCCGTTGATGCTTTCGCAGTTGCTGGATTCGAATTCGGGGACGGAAAGTGCACGGGTCGATATTGTATAATGAATTAGGCTAGCTTAAATGGAGACTGCTAAAATGATAATCGAGAGACGTTTTGGAAATTCATAAACGGATTTAGGATTAAGCTTCCCTTTTTCTTAATTTCGATGTAAATTCTTATCTATCATCTTTTAAGTTGAAAAGGATTTATTGTAATTGTATGCAATGACGAACACGAGCATGGATTTACATGAATTCCGAGCAGAAAAAGTTACGAACACCAGACCAATTTAAACTGGTAATTAAAAGATAAATAGAAACTCTTTGTTCTATATTTCGCCCTAAAAGAGAATTCTAATGAACACCTCCCTGTCTTGATTTTTGCACCATTCTTGATTACAATTTTTTTAATAATAAATACACTAAAATACAAATCTCGACAAAGTGGTAAGACTATATGCAGTGTTCTAAAAGGCGTAATGCGTTGCGATGCGTCGAGGTCGAGAATCAAAAATCACAAGTTTAGACGCATCAATGCGAAGAATAAGCGTCATAATGCGTTTCGTATTTTTAATATTATTTTAATTATTTTTAAGGAATTAAATATATTTTTATATAAAAAAAACAGATTTTTTACAAAAAAAAAATTCTGTTCGAAAATGCGCTGCCTAGGCGCGCATATGCACGCTTAGGCGGCGCATTTTCGAACAAAAACGCATTTTTACCCGCATTTCATCAATTCGACGCGTTTGGCTCCCGCGGCGCGTTTTGGCGCCTTTTAGAACAATGACTATATGGGGACTAAGTCATCAAACATATACTGTACAGTAATTTCAATCACATATTCACAACTACAACTCATTTATTAGCCACACATTTCGTGGTTACTATTCCTCCTAAAAAGTTACTAATAATTTTATGCGAACACTCCATAATGTTCGTCTTTATCTTCGCAGTACAATCTATTATTCTTCGGCACAAATTTGCTCACTCAAGTCACCAACGCTTATTTCCTTCCGGAACTGATCACCCTCTTACAGGCTTCCTTCACGGTGAAGATGAAATATATGTGAAGCAAGAATTCGAGACCTAATTACATTGAAACCGAATGTTATAACTCAGGGTTCCCAGTTACGTACCTTAAACATATATTGGCATGTCAAGTCAACTCCTTATGAAGACGGAATAGAATTGTTCAACGAATTTGTGTCCAAATCAGACCGTTTACACTCTCCTACTAGACTGTTTTCAATAGACTACATTATAATCCCATGTAAGTGCCAGACGAGGTATAACAACTAAATTTTAACATTATTCTGATGTGTGGAGATGCGCAACCCTAGACTTATCCAGGGAAATAACTGTAGTTTTTGGCGCTTCATCTTCGTGACAATAACAATTTATCATCAAATCATAAGAAATGGAGACTTCCCCCAAAAATACATCAGTCTGGAGAGCCTACATTAAACATTTGGACAGTTTGCTTTGCAGAATAGTTAGTAGGATCCAAATCCCACATTTTAGAAAGATAAAAAAATAATTAAGGTCCAGAATAATGGCCTTTCTTTGTGTGTAATGCTCATAAGATAATCAGTTCCTTAAAGCCATGAGCTTCTACGGTCCTGATGTAGATTGGAGGAAGTTATATACACTTGCAAATGTTCCAATTCATATAACATCATGCTAACATTTAGAACATTGAATTGAATAATACAGTAAGGAATTGGAAAGGAAGTTATAAATCTCGTATTATCTTATAGTGTGTTGTCACTACTGCGTACGAAACATGAACTATCTCCATACGACAATTATTTGGCAAAGCCCAGTGACCACCACAACACCCCCCACTAATAGATTTTGTTAGTAATCATTTGGTAAAAATGAAAAAAAAGAAAAAAAAAAAGAAATTCCAATATAATTGTAGAAAAAAATCTTTGAAAGTATGCCAAATCATATACTTTTTTAAGTTAATTTCCTTTTCAGCTACCTTGCACTCCACTTCACTGCTAGGGATTATCCTATCAGAAGCATTTTGATTGTTTTATATGCTAAATTTAAATGTATAGCTCGTTTTAGCAAAAACAAAACTCTAATTATGAGCCCGAACAAAGACCATCCCTGTTAAGTCAGTTAAAAGAAGAAAATTAATAGTGTCAGATGGGTTCGAGTAACTGGTTTGAATCCCATCAATTGTATCAGATAGCTAGATTAAGTGAAGTGAGGTCATCAAATTTAACAAATATACATTACCTCAGTGAATTCCCCTGTCCTCCAACAACCCCACTAGCACTCCCCTCCCCCAAGAAAAGGTGAAAAAGAAAAAAGCAGGAGTACAAAAGAGATTAATATGTTTGTCAAATGAAACATACCTTTCGTTTCCATCTGATCCCATGTGAGCATCTATCGAAGAATGTGACTTTCCAACCATAAAAATTTCACAAAGGGCATCCTCCTTTTGCCAATCCCCTCACCTGCAATTTCTTAGCACATATGTTATGC